AGCGTCGGCCTGCGGACTGAAAGTCCCAGGTCGATTCCGGTCAAGGGCATTTACATGGTTGCGAGCACATTCCCAGTGGGGGGTGTGCAGGAGGCAGCTGATCGATGTTTCTCTCTCTCGATGTTTCTAACTCTCTATTCTTCTCCCTTCCTCTCTGTGGAAAATCAATAAAATATATTTAAAAACCCTTTCTCTCTGAAATCAATAAAGAAATATATTAAAAAACAAAAAACAAACAAACAAACAAAAACAACCTAATCTGGGTGAACTGCGAAGGCAGAACCTAAGGTGGGGGCTGAGGAGGGGTTTTAAGGGCAATAGCTGTTTGGTGTAAGGTGTAAGAAAGTGGTTCAATTTTTTTAATGACCAGTTTGGCAGTATAGTGCATATGGCTATCAGTCCAGATATAGGGATTATGTATTTTTGTCTGCCAAGAGCAGCTCCTCCTGCTGAAAAAGGCTCCCCGCCCCCCATTTAAGCAATCCTATCCTATATAATCTATTTATCTATCTATACTAAAAAATGGGTAATATGCTAATTAGACCTGGTCGACCAGCCATCTTCCCGATGTCCGACTTCCTTCCGGACAAAGCCATGGTGGTGGGGGCCGAGGCAGAGGCAGTTAGGGGTGATCAGGCTGGCAGGAGAGGGCAGTTGGGGGCGAGATTAGGTTGGCAGGGGAGGGCAGTTAGGGGTGATCAGGCAGGCAGGCAGAGGGGTTAGGGGCAATCAAGCAGGCAGGCAGAGACAGGTAGTGGCGATCAGGCAGGCAGGCAGGTGAGCAGTTAGGAGCCATCAGGCAGGCAGGCAGGTGAGCATTTAGGACCCAGTGGTCCCAGATTGCGAGAGGGATGTCCGACTCCCGGTTTAGGCCCAATCCCACAGGATCCCGAAACCAGCAGTTGGACATCCCCCAAGGGGTCCCCGATTGGAGAGGGTGCAGGCTGGGCTGAGGGAACCCCTTCCCACCCCCCCCCCCCCGCTCTGTGCACGAATTTTGTGCACCGGGCCACTAGTCTGAAATAATATTTATGAAAGCACTTTATGATTACTGGACTGCTATCTAAATCTGATTTCTTCCTTCTCAGAAAGCTGACTCCTACCCTTTGTTCTTTTTTATTTTATTTATTTATTATTATTATTTTAATCTTTATTGTTCAGATTATTACAGATGTCCCTCTTTTTTCCCCCCATAGCTCCCCTCCACCCAGTTTCCACCCCACCCCAGGCCCTTGCCACCCCACTGTCCGAGTCCATAGGTACTGCATACATGTATATGAGATCTTTGTCCAATCTCTTCCTGCACCACCCCCCACACCTTCTTCCCACTGAGAATTGTCAGTCCGCTCCATTTCCATGCCCCTGATTCTATTACATTCACCAGTCTGTTCTGTTCATCAGGTTTTTTATTCATTTGATTTTTAGATTCACTTGTTGATAGATATATATTTGTTGTCACTTTGTTGCTCATAATTTTTTATCTTTATCTTCTTCTTCCTCTTAGAGAATACCCTTCAGCA